GTCCCTGCCTCCCTGCCACACCGTCTCCCTCCTGTCTCCTCCAACTGATCTTTCCATTGCTAATGACTCACCCATCGCAAAAGCAGAGGTAACAGCAGTGAAGCTGAGGCACAAGGCGTGGATCTGACAGCACGGCAGCTTTTCCAGGACTGGTTCCTGCCTGTCTCCCCTGCTGAAATGATGGTTCCCCTGTTCCTCTGGGGCTGCTTTGAGAACGACAGCTGAGAAGGACAAAGACACCTACACTTCCTCAGCTGCAGGGTCGCATATGGTCCTCTGAGCACACAAAGGGTCAGAGGTCAATGCCCAAAATACTGATGCCCAAAGGGAAGGATGAAAGGACAGCAAAATCTGAGCTGACTTAGAAGCAGCATGAAAAGAAACTATGCACCCTTCTTGGATGGGATCAGCACAGTTGCAAAGCCCAGGGCCTGCACAGTCTCCCGAAGGCTGGGGGGAAACATTTTGCTTATTAAGGCTGGACTTGATCCCCTGAAACACGCATCTGGGCTTTCTCTAGCTATTGGCAGATTGAAATTGCAAGCACTTTCCATCCCAGCGGCAGCGCAGGAGACCCTTTCAGCTCTTCAGTTACACAATTGGCCAGGTGCACGCTGAATTTTTTTTTCTTTTTTCCACCTTCCTCTGAAGCATCTGGAACGGGTCATTGCCAAAAGCAAGGTACCGGGCCTTCAGGTCTGCTCAACCGGAGCAAAACCTGCATTCCTGGGAAATAATGTTCATCAAGTGCCCATGACGCAGCAGCAAAATATGTACGATACTGATGGCATCTGTGATTTATTCTTTGTGTTCTGTCTTTCCCTCACTCTGTCGCACCCTTTCACACTCTTCCGCAGTCAATCAACCTACATGTAAGGTGGATATGAAAAAAGTGTCTAGACCCTGTCCACCTCCCTGCCAGGCAGGACATCAGCTCCCAGGAGGGAGCCAGGTAGCTTGGCCCTGGCCCTGGGGACTCTGCAGGGATGGTGGAAAAACGCCATGTGCAGATGCTGCTCCCTGCATGGCATCTCCTGGCAGCCTCAAGGGAAACAGCACCACTGAGCCCTCTGAGATGCTTCTGCCCAGGATGCTGCAGGATCTAACCAGTCCTTTCTCACATCCCTTCTTTGCCTGCAATATTTTTCCCTCTTTTTTCTTTTAAACTTAATTTTTACTCTTTTCATTTGTGCCTATTCCTGGCTTTGAGAATATGTGGTTTTTTAGCCTATTTAAATTGCCAAGCACTTGATTCGGAGTTACTATTTTTATGCCAGCAGCACAGGGCTCTGGCCCAGTGGTGCCAGATGCTGCACCTCCACGTGCTAATACATGCCCCGCTGAAGCTCCTGTCTGAATAAACAAGGAAGATGGATGGCACAAGCGGAGAGATTCGCTGACACAGGCCAGCTTGCTAGCTGCCTTAGTGGCATGCTGCCTAACTGAGCAGCTCCCTATCACTTAACGCAGACAGAGCAGTTGCAGCAGTTACATTATTAATTTTTTTCCAGTTTATCTGAGCCATTTGAACCAGCCCTTTCCCCCCCCATGCTGGAGGATTCATATTCTGGCAAATGAAACCCAGCTGGTCATTTCCCTGGATTACATCCATTGCCTTTGCATGGCACGGTTGGCCATTGGTGTGGTTTTTTTCCTGCCAGCATCTTAAAACATCGTTGGGTGTTCCTGCGAGTCACCAACATGGGCAAATCTCCCCTCTCCCAGCGCTGGCATTTCTTTCTGTAGAGCCATGCAGCTCAAGCACAGGTTGAACAGAGTCTGTACAGGTTTTCCTCTCACATCACTTGCTCTTAGTACATTGCATTGTCTGTGTCCTCCCTTACTGTGACTCTTGCAAGACCAAAATGAGACCAATGCAAGTATGAGGGCATCTGTGCCCTCAAGCGTGACCCACCAGCACCTCACTTTGCTCTTTCTGCTTGCAAAGGTGAAATCGGCTGGAAATCCTTGACAAGGCAAAGCAACAGGATTCGCTATGTTCTCCAGGTGCTGGGCAAAGAGCAGGGACAGCGGTCCCCGAACCCTGTGCCTGGCTCTCTTGAGCCTTGCGTCCAATTAGTCATTTTTTATTTTCCCCTCATATGTTTTTCCAATGCAATTTTGAGCATGAGTTGTTAAAGTTTCCCCAACAAGTGTTGCCATAGGAGCCTGTATTTGTTTAGGGTGGGGTACAGGCTCCGGTGGGTTGAGAGGAGGGGGCAATTAGCCCTCATAGGTGTAGAGAGAAACTGAGAGCTTCTCCTTCCCCACCCTGTCCCTGTATCTCTCCTCCCCCCACCTTGCACACAAGATCTGGAAACTGTTTCAGACCTGTGCAGCCAGGATGGGCAAACCCCCCCATAATTGTATGGAAACTACCGAAGCGGCGGGTGTTGTTTTGCCAGTGAGTCATGACATATGGAGCAAAGATGAAGGAAAAACTCCACTGCGTGGAAGGCTGCAAAAGCAAATCACACCCAGAAGAGCTCTTCCCTGCCAGCGACCCTGGCGAGTCCCCTGCCTGCATCCCTGCACCGGCCAGCCCCAGCATCCCTGCTCTGGTCCTCCTCGTGCTCAAAGCTGCTTCGTGGCTCAGAGGCCTTCTTCGATCACCATCATTTAAGACCCACTGATGATTTTCAGTGGAAGAGGAGTGTTAACCCTATTGCCTTGGTGAAATTGCACCCTGGTCTCCTCTGGATGTGGTTTGTGACAAGTCATGGGAGCCAAATCCCTTCTTGTTTTTGAGCTACCTAACGCAGCTGCGTCTCAGTTTCCCAGCTGTAGGAAGGTGCGCTCTTTCTTACTCACTTGTGATATCTTCCAGGCAAATGCAATCTCTCTGTGGCTGCCTGGATTTGGCCTGGGGACTGTGGTACTGATAGCACAGACAGACTCAGTGGTTTGCCATAATCCCTGCTGCTAACTTCCTTAAGTGACATTAGCCTGCGTTGAGCCGATTTCTGTTCCTTGTGAGTCATGATGACAAAAAGCCACATCAGTTCCCTGTTTTTGGCATGGCTCTTTCGTGTGAATTATTGGCATTATCACCAGTCCCGCATGTTGGCTTCAGCGCAGTGGATGCAGGGCTATTGCGGTGCAGTGACATTTTTCAGCTGGCTGTCATTCGGTTTAGGGATGCTATGGGTGAATGTCCATCAAAGGCTGGGTCTGTGTATTTTCTGAAGCTCAGCTGTCATTTGGGGCCACCAGATCCAGTGAAATGGGTTGGCTGCTTCCATGAGCAAAGGGGTGGCCAGGTTTCCACCAAGAGCCCTTTCTGATGACAGCAGTCCTCCTAGAGGTTGGCCATGGTTGCTGGGACAGTAGCTACCATGACAGAGCCTGGAGCAGGAGAAGCATTTCATTACTAATCACTTAGTTAATGAACAGCCTCTCCATTCTGTTAGCACATTCGGTTGTTGTTTGGCAGTGCTGATGTGTATCTGTGATAAATAAACCTCGGCTGCAGATCGTTCCTGACAGTTTATTGCAAGTGCTTCACATGCACGTTGTTTGGTTGCACCAGTCCCACAGCATTGTTTCTGAGCCCTAGTTGGCTGCTTCTCAGCCCCACTTGCTTGTTTCTTTTCTCTGATCAGATGACTCATGTAACTAAACAACAATAAAATAGGTTTCTGAATGGCTGCTTGTGCCATTTAACATTTCTGGACAGAAAGCTATTCTGCTGTGATAGCTTTCTATTTCCACATTAGAGATGAAAGTAAAGAAGGCTTGTTAATGACAGAGCATTTATCTGAGCTGCACCAAGGCAATCTAGGCTGTGCAAATCCCCACTTGTCTAAGCAGACCCAGCAGTGCAGGAAGGGGCACTGGGCTGTGCCATGCAAAGAGAAGCCACCATTATTTTGGCAATGCAAAATCTCCCACCACTCAACCACACAATTTCCTTACAGACAGTGAGATTTGGGCCACAAAGAAGATAAATAAGGAAGAAGGTGGCCAAGACTGAAGCTGCAAGGTGGCTACGTTGCCAATATTTCTGGTCATCGGTAGGCTGGTGCCCTATCTGCTCAGTCCAGAGTTGGATTTTGCCTGCAGGGAGCTAGTGCTTAATGAAGATCCCTTCTGTTTGTCCCAGCTGGCCACCAAATAAGTAGCCTTGTGGTCCAACCTGGCAAGATTTGGTGGAGCCATGTGCTGTGGACAGGGCTAGAGCCTCCAGTGGAGAGTCTTGAGGAATTTGGGAACATGTTCCTCAGGGTCAGAGCCAGAACAAGAGCATTCTGGAAAAGGCATAGTCCTTGCAACCAGCACTTGACAGTGCTTGGCTTGGTTTGGCTTGAGTGCAAGTACTTCTGGGAGACTCCTGACCTTGCTGAACCTTTCTCGTAGTCCAAGGAAGATAAAGCACATGCCTTCCTGAGACTGATCCTCTAGCAGGATGCTCTCTCGATCCTCATAACAGCCTCTCTGTACTTAGCCGCCTAAGCCAGGTCACCAAGCTCAACTTCAGAGCCAAGCTCTTTGGGAGGAGGGGTGTTTGAGAGAAGAGTTGGGTCAGCTTCTTACAGAGCCCTGCCCCAGCTGTGAACATGCGGAGAGCTGGATTACAGTGGAGACACGTGGGAGTGGTGTGAGAAGGTGGACAAGAAGATAAGGTGGTGAACTGACTCCTAGCTGGGTGGCAATGGACTCCATGGCAAAGCACTGAGTGAGACGGGAATGGGGACTTGTAGCATTCAGGTTGGGGCCCTCTCTAGAGATGTGGATTTCTAGAGATTTCTCACTTCCTCACACAATTCCCTGATCCTCAAGCTACAGCTGCTGCCATCTGAGCACCCACTACTCCATACACACCAGCCAGGATACCAGTCTTCTGGTGCCCTTTGCGTTTGAAGAGGGGGTTGTGTATGGTGGAACTGGGCCTTAGCCCTTGTCAGACGCGCACAGGGGCCTTGTGAAGGACAATTGTGGTTTTGGGGGAAACCTTATGATTTTGAATAACCCTTTCAGCAAAGAATCGTTTCTCTGCCTAGCCCTTCCAAGCAGACGGCTGGTGCGACACCATCAACAACCGGGCATACTGCCAGTATGACGGGGGTGACTGCTGCTCCTCCACACTCTCCTCCAGGAAGGTAAGTGAGCATCTTCTGCAGCGCTGGCCAGTATTTAGGATTAAGTGGTGACTGCTAGCCATACTCTTTGGCTTTGCTGGCCATGGAACTGAGCCTGCAATGCAATTCTCCCATGAATGGAGAACAAACCCATGACTTTAAACTGAAGCCAGCTGAAGCAGATAGACATCATCCCACTGATTAATAGCAGGGTTTGGACTTGGGCCAGCAGGATTGAAAGCTCAGCCCAGCTCCCACTGGGGTTCATGGGATTCCCTTTCATTTTGGGAAACGAGTCCCAAAGAAATGACTTCCATGGGATGTAGTGCTAGCCATGGTGAGTCAGAAGTCACCTTGTCGTATAATTGAGCAATCTCAGGGGATTTTTGGTATAGTCCGTTGGCGTCTGCTATGGGCTGTCTTTCCCTCCCAATTCTCCTGGCGGGGGGAAGGAGGGAGGAATAGCGTAGAGAGAGCAACTTGGCATTGGGGTTGCACAGACCCTTCTTTGTCTCCCATCACAACATACCCTCCCACCTAACTTACTATCCAGCGCTCACAGCCCATCCTTCCTAAGCATATCCAACAGCAAAACAAATCATAGGGCATGAGATAATTTCTCACTGCAAAAATATGTGAATTTGGATCTTCTCATCTTTGTTGTGGAGCTTGAATCATTTTTCCTTTCATCACGCATACACACACAGAGAAAAGGAAAAATAAAATCCTGGGAAGATCCAGTTGAGATAGGAGGGAAAAGGCTTTACACCCAAGTGATGAGTGAAACCTCCACAGCGATATCATGACATCTTGGAGCAAGGCATTGCTCTCAGGAGGTCTGAGACATCTGGATCTCTGGCCAAAATAAATGACAGGTTTGCATTGGAAGGTGGGGGGATCCAGTCCCATGGCTCTCAGGAGACCCAGCCCCAGCTTGCATCCTCCACAGGTCCCAGATCTCCCGTGGCACAAGCCTCCAGCACCTCTCTGTTAAGGCAGATGCAGGAATATGGGGGTTGAATACCAAAAGACCACTCCAGCCTCTCACTGGCCCAGGCTGTAAAAAATCAAATGTGCTTCCACAGTAAGAAAAACTCCTGGCTCTGAGCCTGGTATGTATAAAACCTCTGGAGGAAACTTTTCTCAGCTCCCATGGCCTATAACAGGACAACTGTCAGCCAGGAGCCAGATGCCTTGCTGGTGCCCTCCCACCTTGCTCTGCTGCCACCAGCTAAGGTGACATAAACTTGCTCGGCCACATACGGTTGTAGAGAAAGTGATGTGCAATGAGCATCTCTACCTGCATGGGATGTCTCAAAGCAGCACAGCTTATCAGTGGTCCTAGACGGACCCACTGCCTGCCCCACTGCAGGCCATTCCAGGCTGGCTTTTCTTAATCCATAATGCATAAGAACTGTATGCATCTACCCTGGCTCCTATATCAGGTAGTGTGGAGGCCAGCCTTCGTAGCTGGGAGCTTGGCTGAGTTCCTCCAAGAGGTGCAGCAGACAAGGCTATGCTACCTTCATGCTTTGCTGAGCCTGGAAGAGCCAGGAGCAGCTTGAAGGACAGGTCCGTGGGCTCAGACATGGACAAGGGGGGCTTCCTAACAGAGTAAAACTGAAATCTAGAGGTGCCTCACCACTGCCAGCCCTAGTCCAAATGTCTCATGCCCACCAGGGAAGATTTCTCCACCAGGGAAGACTTCTCCCCAGGGTTTGACATTTGGGGCACAAGACTCAAGCTGACCCTTCGTTGCAAAATTTGAAACACAAGTCAACAGGAAGGAAAACACGAAGAATAAAACTCAGCTGGGGTCAGCTTATATCAGAGCCCATTTCTCATTGAGCATGGAGCCTGCCAGTCTCCACAATGCCAACAACATCAGGGTGCAGCCCAAAGTGTCTGTCTGCCTGTACTGGGGTACAGAGGGCTTGCAGGGGCATAGGGGTGCCAGGAGCCAGGGACCTCAAAGCAGAGGCTTACGTCTCCCTTCGGTCCCCCCAGGTGATCCCGTTTGCTGCTGACTGTGACCAGGATGAATGCACGTGCCGCGACCCGGCGGCCGAGGAGAACCAGTAGTGGCACTACGAAGGGTCTCTCTCAGTCAGGCGAGCGCCGGAGGAGCGAAGGGGCAGCAACGGGGGCCGCTGGGGAATGGTGGGGTGCAAGGGGGCAGGAGGTGGAGAGAAGAGCCAGGCAGGGGGATGGTGACTGCGTACAGAGGGGACGGGTCGAGG